AGGAGGGGAGGAGGTCGCGGTGTCCGCGTGCCCCCCGGCCCTGACCGGGCAGTCCTTGTCTCGCTACAGATGGCGGCTCAGAGGCAGCGGGCGCTCGCCATCATGTGCCGGGTCTACGTGGGCTCCATCTACTACGAGCTGGGGGAGGACACCATCCGCCAGGCCTTCGCCCCCTTCGGGCCCATCAAGAGCATCGACATGTCCTGGGACTCCGTCACCATGAAGCACAAGGTGGGACGGGGCTCCTGCGCCGGGGGGCGTTCCCTGAACGTTCCCTGCCTGGGCATGGGTGGGCTTTTAGGTGTTTTCCTGCCCACCCCATCCTGGGGTTTAGGAGGTGTGCTGGGAACTCTGGCACAGAGCATGTGGACTGTCCTGGGAGGGGCTGGGTTTCCTGTGTGGCAGCAGGAGCTGATGCCCCAGTGATGAGGCATTTTGGGGTTTCCCACAAGGCTATTTCTTTCAGCCCCAGATCTTAAACACAAAATATACAGCTTTGCAGAGCTTTGGATGGGATATTGGGAAGGAATTTTTCCCTGTGAGGGTGGGGAGGCCCTGGCACAGGTTGCCCAGAGAAGCTGTGGCTGCCCCTGAATCCCTGGAAGTGTCCAAGGCCAGGTTGGATGGGGCTTGGAGCAACCTGGGCTAGTGGGAGGTGTCCCTGCCCATGGCAGGGGGTGGGATTGGGTGGGCTTCAAGGTCCCTCCAGCCCAACTCTTCGATTCCCAGCCCTCAAGGGATGCGTATCCTCTTGTGTCCGTGGCCTTCCTGATGCAGCCAGGAGAGGAAAGGGCCTCGGTCCTCATGGAGCCCAGGCTGCTTTTAGCCCTGGGGATGAATGTTTGCAGCTCCCTGCTCTGCTTAGGGCAGGAGTCTGTGCTGGGAGCCAGGTGTGCCTGGGCTGGGGTGCACGGAATCCCAGGATCACTGAGGTTGGAGAAGAGCTCCAAGGTCATCACGTCCACCCCGTGCCCAATCCCCATCTTGTCCCCAGCCCAGAGCACTGAGTGCCACGTCCAGTCGCTCCTTGGACACCTCCAGGGGTGGGGACTCCACCACCTCCCTGGGCAGCCCCTACCAATGTTTAACAACCCTTTCCAGGAAGAAATTCCTCCTGCTGTCCAACCTGAAGCTCCCTAGAAGGTGCCAACCCGGCACAGCCCTGAGTGAGGCGGGGTTTTGCTGTGGGGCCTCTGAGTCCAAGAGGCTCCAGGAGGATCAGGTGTCCTCGGTGGAATCTCTGCAGGCCTTTTTTGCCTCAATAAAAAAAACTGCCCCAAGGAATCTTCTCAGGCCACGAGCAGGAATCGGTGTGGTGGGAATCATGTAGGGCCCTGGGGGAAGTCTTGGCTGCCTTATCATGGCCTGGAGTGATTCACAGTCTGCTGCTGTCCCAGGGCTTTGCCTTTGTGGAATACGAGGTCCCCGAAGCCGCCCAGCTGGCCCTGGAGCAGATGAATTCTGTCATGCTGGGGGGGAGGAACATCAAGGTGAGTACCAGGAGCGCCCTGAACATTCCTGCTTCTCTTCCCCGGCAATAATAACAGGTTTGTGCCTGGAAATGCTCCCCACGGCCCTGGGGAAGGTGCCTGAAGTCTGGTCCCTGATGGACCTTGGTGTCCAGCATGGGGCTCACGCTGGCTCCAGATGCCTCCTCTCTGAGGAGAAACCCCCCAGCCTGGGAGTCCCAGCTGGGACTGGCTCTGGGCACCTGGCTCAGGTTTTCCCACCCACACGTGGGACTGTCTTGAGGACAAAACAAAGGTGATTTTTTATATGGTGTCTCTGACATGCCCTGCAGGGTCTGGAGGTGGAGGGGGTTTAGGACCCCCCCAAAAGAAGGGTGTAGGAACATTGAGATTTGCTCTCAGAGTCTTTCTCAATCCCTGGAAGTTGGTCCTCGGCAGGCCAGGGAAGATAAATGGGGGAGAATGCAGTGAGGAAGGAGCAGAGTCTGCTCTGGCTCTGTATTCCTGGGTCCCAGTAATGCTGGTTCCCAGAGCCATGGCAGCCATTCCCTGTGCCAGGGGGTCCCTGGGAGGTGTCCTGTGGTGCTGAGTGCCTGGGGGCTGCCTTTGGGCGCTCCGTGGATTGTGTCACAGAATCCCAGGATCACTGAGATTGGAAAAGACCTCCAAGGTCGAGTCCAGCCTGTGCCCGATGCCCACCTTGTCCCCAGCCCAGAGCACTGAGTGCCATGTCCTTCCCTGGACACCTCCAGGGATGGGGAGTCCAAACCTCCCTGGACAGCTCCTTCCAATGTTTAACGACCCTTTCCATGAAGAAATTCCTCCTGATATCCAACCTCCAACAGCTTGAGGCCATTTTCCCCTTGTCCTGTCCCTGTTCCCTGGGAGCAGAGCACCCAGGTCCCCACTCCTGTCAGGGAGTTGCAGAGAGCGAGAAGGTCCCCCCTGAGCGTCCTTTTCTCAGGGCTGAGCCCCCCCAGCTCCCTGCTGGTGCTCCAGCCCTTCCCAGCTCCTCTCCATCCCTGTCCCTCAGGTGGGCAGGCCCAGCAACATCGGGCAGGCCCAGCCCATCATCGACCAGCTGGCGGAGGAGGCCCGAGCCTTCAACCGCATCTACGTGGCCTCGGTGCACCAGGACCTGTCAGATGACGACATCAAGAGCGTCTTTGAGGCCTTTGGGAAGATCAAATCCTGCACCCTGGCCAGGGACCCCACGACAGGGAAGCACAAAGGCTACGGATTCATCGGTACGACCCAGCTGGGCCTGGGCTGGGAGTGGGGTTGGGAGTGGGGGATGGGGGGTATCCTCGGCTCTTGGGGTGGTCTGGGGTTGGGTTTTCCACTCCAGGGGAGGAATTTCATTAAGCATGGGGATGGGAATGAATTTGGGGCAGGTCTGGGCCTGAGCTTAAGAAATATGATTTATAGCAGTGGTGAGGCCCTGTCACAGGCACAGATTGGAGCCCCTCTGCTCCAGAGCCAGGCTGGGAGAGCTCGGAGGGTTCACCTGGAGAAGAGAAGGCTCCAGGGAGACTTGATAGCCCCTTCCAGTGCCTGAAGGGGCTCCAGGAGAGCTGGAGAAGGAATGGGGACACAGGGAATGGTTTCCCACTGCCAGAGGGCAGGGTTAGATGGGATGTTGGGAAGGAATTCTTCCCTGTGAGGGTGGGGAAAGGCTGGCATGGATTTCCCAGAGCAGCTGTGGTTGCCCCATCCCTGGAAGTGTCCAAGGCCAGGTTGGACAGTGCTTGGAGCAACCTGTAACAGCAGGAAGTGTGGCATGGCAGGGGGTAGGACTGAGTGGACTCTAAGGTCCCTTCATCCCAAACCATTCCGTGATTCCATGGCTGAACAATAAGATGCTATCTGTGAATTCCCCCTTCCCGCAGAGTACGAGAAGGCCCAGTCGTCCCAGGACGCCGTGTCTTCCATGAACCTCTTCGACCTGGGGGGTCAGTACCTGCGGGTGGGCAAGGCCGTGACGCCCCCCATGCCGCTCCTGACCCCGGCCACGCCCGGGGGGCTCCCCCCGGCTGCTGCCGTCGCTGCCGCCGCCGCCACCGCCAAGATCACGGCACAGGTGAGGGCTGGCACAGGAACAGAGCACAGGGACAGAGCACAGCACAGGGCAGGGCTGGCACAGCTCAGGCAGGGTACAGAGACAGCTAGAGCACGGCAGAGGGGAGGGACAAAACCTTGGAATTGTTTTGCTCTGCCGTGTTAGAAGCCCCATGAAAACAAGGAAGAGAAGGATGTGGGTGATTAAATCAGGAGCATAATGGCCTGGAAAGCAACAGCAACCAAAACCACTGGGATCCTGGGGTGTATTTTGGGCACGTCATTTCCAGTAGTTTTATGGAAGTGTCTGGGGTTTAACTGGTTGTTCGTGTCGAATGTTGGAATTCTGAGCATCTGAATCAGGGTGTTTATTGGGATTGGAGTTCCAGGAGAATGTTTCTAATCCAAGGCTTGGTGGCTCAGGGTTTCCCAGAGGGGCTGGTGGCACCTTTGTGGTTCCCAGCAGCTCCAGGAACTCCTGGGGATCAGAGTGTCTGGCGTTTCTCCAGCGTGGAACAGCTGGAGTTCCTGGGCAGGACTAACCTGGGTCCCTGTTCTCCCTGTGTCCCACAGGAGGCCGTGGCAGGAGCTGCAGTTCTGGGCACTCTGGCGACGCCGGGACTCGTGTCCCCGGCCCTGACCCTGGCCCAGCCCCTGGGGGCTCTACCCCAGGCCGTGATGGCAGCACAGGCCCCTGGAGTCATCACAGGTGGGGTCCCCTCCCCCTGGCACCTGTGTGACACCTTCCCCTGGCACTCATGTCACCTGTCCTCCTGTCACCTTCCTGCTGGCACCTGTATCAGCTGTCCTCCTGGCACCTCTGTGTCCTCTTCCCTTGTCATTTGTGTGTCCCCTCCCCTTGCCACCTGTGTGTAATGGGTAGGACAGGGCCATGGATTCCCAAGAGGAACACAGGGCACTGAGGGAAAAGCTGGATAATGGGCACTGTGCAGAATCCCATCCCCCAGGTGTCCCTGTCCATCCCCCAGGTGTCCATGACCATCCCCCAGGTGTCCCTGTCCATGCCCAGGTGTCCCTGTCCATCCCCAGGTGTCCCTGTCCATCCCCCAGGTGTCCCTGTCCATCCCCCAGGTGTCCCTGTCCATCCCCAGGTGTCCCTGTCCATGCCCAGGTGTCCATGACCATCCTCCCCGTTCTCTCCCAGGTGTGACCCCCGCCCGGCCGCCCATCCCAGTGACCATCCCGCAGGTGGGGGTGGTGAATCCCATCCTGGCCAGCCCCCCAGCCCTGGGGCTGGTGGAGGTGAAGAAGGAGAAGGAGGAGGAGGAGGTTTTCCAGGAGTCGGAGCGGCCGGAGATGCTGAGCGAGCAGGAGCACATGAGCATCTCGGGCAGCAGCGCCCGCCACATGGTCATGCAGAAGCTGCTCCGGAAGCAGGAGGTGGGTCCCGGGCTGGTCCCAGCTGCCAGGATTATCCCAGGATTATGCCAGGAACACCCTGCAAGCACCTCCGAGCTTGGGGGGCTCAGGGTGCACCTGGCAATGGACCTTGCCCTGCCCTCAGGATGTGTTCACAAGGGCCTGCAGTGCCAGGACAAGAAATGGCTTCCCACTGCCAGAGGGCAGGGATAGATGGGATATGGGGAAGGAATTCCTCCCTGGGAGGGCGGGGAGGTCCTGGCACAGGTTGCCCAGAGAAGGTGTGGCTGCCCCATCCCTGGAAGTTTTCCAGGCCAGGTTGGAGCAACCTAAGCTAGTGGAAGGGATGGGGAAGAACCTGGAATGTCCCAGGTGTGCCAGGGCTGGGCTGGAGGGTGGAGCCTGGAATGCCGCAGGTGCGTGACCCACCTGTGTGTCCTGTCACAGCTGCGGAGCGATGGAACACCTGGGGAATCCTTTGGCTTTGTTGGGAAGGGAAGGGAAGGAAGATGTAAAACCAAACAGGGTGTGATGGTGGTGGTGAGGGAAAGCTAAAAATTAACCTGGATAGCAGCAGCAGTGCCCTGGCCCCCCTGTGCTTCCAGGATGTGTCCCAGGAAAGCCCAAGACATGGGGCATGGCATTCCCCACCTGGGCCACGGTGCTTGAGATGCCCAAGGAAGGAAACTCAGTACCTGTCCCTGAGCACCCGGGCCGTCAGTGCCGTGGGATGTCTGGAAGGAGCCACAGGGCTCTCCGCGTCCCCACTCCCTAATTCCCTGCTCCTTTCCCTCCCAGTCCACGGTGATGGTTCTCCGCAACATGGTGGATCCCAAGGACATCGACGACGACCTGGAGGGGGAGGTGACGGAGGAGTGCGGGAAGTTCGGGGCGGTGAACAGGGTGATCATCTACCAGGAGAAGCAGGGGGAGGAGGAGGACGCCGAGATCATCGTCAAGATCTTCGTGGAGTTCTCCATGGCCTCAGAGACTCACAAGGCCATCCAGGCGCTCAACGGCCGCTGGTTCGCCGGCAGGAAGGTGGTGGCCGAGGTCTACGACCAGGAGAGGTTTGACAACAGCGACCTGTCGGCGTGAGCCGGGAACGCCAGCCTGGAATCTGGGCAGCCCCCAGCTCGGATCCGGTTATGGGCCCAACTCTGATCCTGGGAATTAGCAGAGCTTGGATCTGGGGGATCGGCTCAACTCCAGTCCCGGGGATCAGCCCAACTCCAGTCCCA